AGAGCATAATGGTGCCACTGCCAAAGCCAAATAATTTACATCCTTTTACATCAGCAAATGATTTTAAGGCTTGGCACCAAGAGTTAATAACAAAAAGGGCCAGAGGTAGCAGGACAGGGACTTTCAAATTCGCTTTTATATTTTACTGCCCTACAATAAACTACCAGTATTGTTAATAACCATTTCTTTTCAATTTTTTTTATATTAAAAACTCTGGAGCTCATATCCCTAATAATATAGATTCAGAGAGCTTATCAGGAGTTTCCTCCTTCCATTTCTAACAATATTGCTCTGAGACTCGAGTATTTTAAGAGAAACATAAAACTCTCTTCTACTGGATTTTACTCAGAAGGCTTGTTTTTTAGCCAAAGAAATCCTAATCTTAATCTCTTTTATTCAAAACTCAAATGGCCGTTGTTTATATATTCTGTTAATCCCTATTCTCAGATTTGTTTTATTTGTGACCCCTTTTGTTAAATGTTGCTCCTCACACGCTGCCATAGCTTTTAAACTTTCAAACATTCTTTAACTGATATATATTTGGTAGATCACATAACCAAATAATTCACTATTATGGAATTTACAGTAAATTATTTATCTTGACACCACAAAATATGCCTGTGATCAAAAGCCCAATACTTTAGTAGTATAGGAGAACCTTCTTAAAATGACTTTGTCTGTTTCCAGGATGTGACTGTTCCCAGTAGATGGATGGGAGCAGGTGCGATCCCCTCTCACTCCTGTCGATTGGTTCTGCTTTCCACTACCACAAACCCAAGACCATCAGCGAAAGTTCAAACCTTTCCTTAGCAACAGGTAGTCAATTACTTACTTTATACAAAGACAGAAAGGATAGTCTATAACAATCTTTGGAGGTCTGCCAGAAGCATTGCATTCTGGATCCTGGCCACAGTTCTTTAACACTGAAGACGTAAATATGGGGAATTCATCAAATTAAGATTAAACTAAAGACTGTCTCGCCTTGAAAAATTAAGTGGTTGGATCAGAAATTCCAAAGTCCATATTTCAAGCAGTGTAAAATCTACAAAATGCTGTCTATAATTTAAGAAACTGAATTCTGTAATGAACAGAAACATCTGTCATGTCTAAAGATTAGTTTTTGAATGACAAAATGGTGCTATTTATATTTTGAGAGGCAGTTAAGATGTTGTTCCCTGTGACAGAAACAAATATATATACTTTTATTATGTTACTTACCACCCACCCATTTAGTAACAAATGTATTCCAAAGAGAAGCCTATACAAAACCCTCAGAATCTGGGTGTTCCATGTGACTAATTTCTCCTTATTTTAGTTTTGTGCAAGCATCCACAACATTTATATATGGCATGTACAATTTATTTTATTTTATTTTATTTTGCAAATAAATACTACCTTCATTCGTGAGTTATCGAATACAGGAAACTAGTCACCAGTTAAATAAATAAACCCTTAGTTGAATCAGTTAGTCTAAGAAGAATTGTATGAAATCCTTTTACAAAACAAGGATCTTAGTTTATGCACTATTTTCTATTCACCCAGTATTTGATTTTTAAAAGATGATATTTTTCTGTAAAGGTATCTAGAAATCAGTCATCTGACTAAATCAGTTGGAACAGAACTTTGGGAAAAATTAACTTTTTTCAATAATGTTAAGTTTTGTACTAGTGAAGATTTAGCAAGGTACTAGATCTTTAGGACTTTTATAAGGGAATAGTAACTCAAAAACAAATAAATTAAAGTCACACTTCTAAAATGCCTGGATTATAGCCCCTTTTTGTTTTTAACTATGTTGTATTAATAACTCAACCTCATTTTTGGTATCTTAAAATATGTTAATATTTTCCACATTGTTAATGAAAATGATCTTTTGGGTTTTGAATAGAGTTTATTACATTCAGTTAAATTTTGTCCATAAATCTGTAATTCCAATCTCAAAATGAAAATCATTTAGAAAATCAGGCTCACTGTTATTGTACCACAGCAAACTTCTCTCAAATGCATCTTTATTCATTTAGTGAAGTTTTCTTACATTTATGTGTGTTTATAGACGTAATGTTAGCTTCTGTAATATAGTAAAGGTGCTCTTTGTTCTTAATCTGGTGCTATATTGCTAGAAAATCAGTCCTACCCATGCTTTGATTCTTGAAAGTTACATTGGCAGAGGACTGTAAAATTATCAAACGAATATGTGCTAAAACAACCACTGCAGATCATTCAAGCAAACAATTTTTCCAGAGGGCATCCAAAATTGGTGATAGAGCATCCTCAAATTTACAATGCGATTCTACAACCTGTCACTTTCTTCCTCAGGAACACAAACGTCAAAGTGAGTGAGGGGAAGCAGACTGGACTGGCTTGTTATATTAAGATAACCACACCTTACATGTAAATTTTCACAAGCACAGAGCTGAATTCCATTTGCCTAAATTATCATTGTCCCTGGAGATACTACAACATTTGAAGAACAACAACAACAAAAAAAACCACCAATAGACACACAAAAAAACCAACAGACACATACACTGAGGTGTATTGGTTTTATGACCCTTTGACTTAAATTCTTTCGTTGTTGTTTTTTTTTTCCCTTAACTCGGGTAGAAATGATATTTTAATGAAAAATTACTTGTTTTTAGAAAACCCATTCAGCTTCTTTTGTTAAACAACCTCCTTGTATGCGTTGTGCGTTCTGCCTTCCTTCAACCTTCAAGATGCTAGTTACCTTCCATACAAGGAATGGGAAAACTATCGTATCAGGAAACACTCTGGACATCGGTCCGAATGCCACCCTTGCAGGGTGATCCACAAACATACAAAACACCCCATTTAGGATTCTCTAGCCATGTGGTTGTCTACAATTCTCTAGGAGTCGAAATCATGATGACGGTAAGGACGACTAGGTAATCTTCAAAAAAACCCACGAAAAATCAGGTCTCCCAATGTCACGATCTCACCCAGAGGGAAGGTGCGTCCAAAAACACACACCCTAGACCGCAGGGAGATAGCATCGCGGGGACGCAGGAACATGATGGAAAAGGGCAGGGACCCGAGCAGCTAGAGATCAGGAGGCTGCAGGGACACCCGGCGCCTAGCGCCCAACAGTCTGGAGTCGACCCCGGCACCCCTCAAGGCCCCGCCCCCGGCATCACCCCTGCCCGCAGCCAGCGGGTCAGCGCAAGCGCGTCTCTGCGCCCGGCCACTGCGCCCTGGGCCGCTCCTGGCGGCGTCTCGGAACGCGAAGCGCTGGGACCCAGAAAGGTAGCGCTAGTGGCGCAGGAAGATGGGTGGGGGATCCGTTCCTAGTCGACGTGAAAGAGGCACGACTAGGCGAGCAAGGGAGGACAGGGCACGGCGCCCTCCCGGTGGCCACCTACTCTCCATTTTATTTCCTCAGAAACTGCTGGGTAGGCTGGGGACCCGCCCAAGGGCGGGGTCTCTCTCGACTGGGGGTGAGTGAGACCGTTAGGCTAGAACACCAAGAGACAGTCCTGGCAGCTCCCTGCCGCCACCCGCGCCTCAATAAAAGCCTCTCGCGGCTTCCCGCCCAGCCAGCCTGGCTCTGATTGGTCGCCATGGGAGGGACCCGAGTTGGCTGAAGGAGGTGGCACAGCGCTGCTCTCGTGCCGCCCGGAGAGGGGGCGTACTGGGTGCACCCCGGGCCGCCCCATGCACTCGCCCCACCCAGACTCGGCCCCCTAGGGCAAGCCCGATGGCAGCGACTCTGATACACAGCTCCCTCCGCCCCGCTCTCCCCGACGCTTGAGCACTTCTTCACACACGCCCCCCACCCAGAATGTCCGCCCACCCCACCCAGCTCCCTGCGGGGCCCCTGCTTCTGGTCTTCCTCCCCTGGCGTCCACATGCGCTGAAGCGCAAATCCTTCGGTGATGGGTGGAGGGAGCAACTGGAGGGGCGAGTGGGCACGCACGTTAGAACCTTTCAGGGAGGCCAGGATGGAAAGAGCCAAAATAAAATGCACCTCCTTCCTGGCTGCTGAGGTTCTGGGGGCTGCGGCGCAGCAACCGCCACCCGTGGAAGCATCACTACAGTCTTCCTTCCAGCTCCTATTGTTCGCACTTTGCTAGGATCAGGGACCTCGCCCAAAGAAAGGAGCCTGGAGAGAGGTGTTTCAAGCGACTACCTGCTATTCTTGTCTCGCACTGTGCAACACTAGGCTCGTGGCGCGTGTAAAGACACACGCGCACACACACCAAGAAGCCTCGATCACGCCCTCCTCGCCCTCCGCCCCTCCGCACTTCCTCCTGTCAAAATGAGCTGCTCGACCCTCCCATCCCTGGGTGCTCCAGGCCGAGAGCTGGGTTTGCAACTCGCCAGTAATTTGGCAAATAAAAAACTAACGTCATAGCGACGGGGATGCAACAACGGCCACACAGTCCAGCGATCCGTCCCTTTTTTGCAAACCGTTATTCTGCCGGGGGGTGGGGGGGTGTACCGAAGGCAGTGAGACCCACTTTATTAGACCTGGAGAAATAACGATCCGGGCTAGCTGTGCCGGCCTTATTGTTCACTCTTCCTGGAACCCGGGCTGACAAGCCCCTTGCCCATGGAAATCGAACCCGGGCGGTAGCACCACCCGTGCCACAGCAGCTCCTGCCCCGCCGCCGCTCCTCCCGCCGCCCGCCTTCGGGGAAGGAGCGCTGCCCATCACTGGCGCGGCCGCTGCGTCCCCAGGAGCAGGCGAGCTCCGCTCCTAGCACACAAAGTGGGAAGGGCGGTCGGGATGTTGAAAGGGTGCCCGGGGTTCACTACGATAGCAGGATAGCAGACAGCCCAGATCCAGCGTAGCCCGTGAGGGTACCCGATCTGGGTGGGCAGCAAAGCAAGGGCGACGCGCTCCTTTCTCCACTCCATTAAAATGACCAGTTCTAGCTTTCCATGGAAAACCACCCCAAATCAGTGTTTCTACAGGGAGGAGTAGGGGGAAGGAAGCACTTAACAAACCAGATCGAGAGAAAAGAAAAAGGGGGCGAAAAATGTACCTGCAGTTCCCAGGAAAAACAAAGTCCAGATGAGATCTTTAGTTTGCAGCATTGTAGTCTGCTGGCTGGGAGGGATGTTCTTGCCGCGGTAAATTCTGCGCCCTCCCCTTGCAACGAGTGTGGACGGCGGCAGAGCTACAGACCTAGGGGCAGACAATTGCCAGGCTGAGTATGATTATTTTTGCAGAATTGTTTTCAGCCAGCGGCTGCCGAGCTGCGTTCACGCGCTGGTCGGAGAATGAGTGACAGTCCCAGCCTCAGCACACTCGCAACTCGAAGATCCTTGCGCTGGCCCGGGTTCGCTTTGATGGAACTGGGGATGGGAGAGGGGGGCGGGGGTGAAAACCTCACTGTGTCCTTCCACCACGCCGGCCACAAATAGTGCCGAACATCAAGGAGGTAAGAGAGACAGGGGAGGCAGATGCGGCCGCTTGCAAAACGCGGCCTGGAGCTACGGGAGGAGTCGGGATCGTTCACACGCAGTCTCCCAGGCAGAGCTGGGATTTCTTCTTTTCACACTTCACCCACACGCCTCCGCGTTCCCTCCCGCGAACCAACCTTCCTTAATCAGGAGTTTGGATACTTGAATAACTAATAAATCATAAAAATACAATCTTAGGTTTGGTTAGATTTTTTAAAGTTAAGGAATCCCTCCATTTAGAACCTAAATACTTGAAACACACAAGTAGCATAGATCTTTTTTTTTTTTTAACGCAGGAAATTAGATATTTGGGAGAGGGTTGGGATTGCAGTTGCTGGGCTTTGTTTTAATATTTTTTGTATGTGTGTGTGGGTTTTTTGTTTTCTGCTTTTTGTTTTTTAACTATGAAGTTTGCTCTCCCACAGAGAAGCAACATATAAATCAGCAAATCCCAGGGGAAAGAGGTGGGAAGCAATTTAAGTAGAAGAAAAGGCAGATGTGTAGAAGGAATTTCCAAAAATAACTGGAAGAAAATGGGGACGTTTACATGTTTATAAATGCTGAGTTCTGTGGTCTCAATCAAGATCACAGAGTCAATTGTCCCATGACATCGGAGCAATATTAAATAATATCTTCTTGCAAGGGGACACAACCCCTACTCTTTATAATGTTAATGTGGATAATCACTGAGGTGCCAACCCAAAGGGGCTTCAGTTAATGTTACCACTGCCTTGTATAAAGAAGGAGCTGAGAGCAGAGTCAAAATCAACATCATCTCAGGATCTGATCAGGATTTGAGTGTTTAAGGAACAAGATGTAAAAGAATCAGAAGCCCAAAGTTAGCCTATTAGCCTGGCACAGTGAACTCTCTGACACAGAAACACTGCCTATATTCAGTGTCACCAACACATCACACCAACTTTACCGTGTACTTCCCCCTTGGCCTCATCCTCTGCTTGCAGACCAGCCATCCTCCATTATTGAAGAAGTTGTATCTTCTCCTTCTATCCTCTCTGCACTAGACCAATTGGGTCACACCAACAGGCTGAGATTTCTGGACACCACCAAAAAGTACTTCCTCCCAAACCAATTTTTCACAACTCTTACTTTTGTAATATTTATTTTATACCAATTATAAATATAACCTATCACTCATTCATTAGTTTATCATACTGTGGTGGCTTGTGTGCATTTCTGATACCAGCTATGGTGGTATCAGATTTCAGTGGAGCTTCCAGATTAAGACAGACTAGAAAGAAAGGGCAAAAAACTTACATCCAACAATTAGTGAATATTATAGACCATAACAAAATATTGTCCAATATAGTGCTGGAAGATGAACCCCATAGGTTGAAAGGCATTCAGAACGCACCTTGACTGCAACAATGCGCTCAAACATGCCAACAATCATAAAAGATAGTGGAGGACCGGACAGCTTTTCTTTCTTTTACACCTAAAGTCATCCATCATGAGTTAAGACAACGCTACAGCAGCTAGCAGCGATCAATGTAATGTTTGCTCATGGTAGAAAACCTGAAAATTCAGAAAAGCAGAAAGAAGGAACTAAAAACCCCAAATCTGACAGGTTCCAGAGACATCCACAGATTTTCAGTCTTTTTTATATGCTTGTGACTTTTATAATTTGAGATATTACAGTAGCCATTTTAATCCTGCTTATTTTCCCTAATGTTTCATTATAAGCATTTTTCCAGGTCATTAAAAAGTCATTCTAAACATTTTTATAGCTATTTAATATTTCTTCATATGGATGGTTCTTCAATGGTTCCCCCATTGTTGTGTATTTAGATTGTTTCCAGAGACTGATAACATAAGTAACGCTTTTTCCGAACATCTTTCAGCAAATATTTATTGAACAACCACTCTATTTAGCTCTATGCTGGGTGCAGTGGATTATATAAAACTGGGGGGTATAGGTTTGCTTTGTTTTGTGAAATGGTTGGTCTAGTTAAGTGTCTTTGACGGCACATAGGAGCTTCTGCTAAAATGCAAAATTGCCCCACTGAACTTTATAAGTTCATGAGGATGAAATTATTAGGTCTTGATAGTGGGGGAAAGATGGGGAGAACAAGCCTGAGGGAAAAAGGAAAATCGTGAAGCGTGAGTTCCCCAAAATAACTTCTTTCTTCGTTCTAATTTTACCAAGAGTGAGAGACACACCCTTTTCTGCAAGGCTCCCTGGTTGTAGTGCATGTTAGTAGACTCAAAAGATTCCTTACTCTGTTTCTCCCCAAATGTCCCTATTTTTAGCCTTCCTCTGTAGGCAGGTGTGGAAATCCTATCTCACTGCAGCATGACTGAATGTATTTTTTTCTCTCGCCAGCCCCTCCCTGTCCCATGTAGCTGTTGCTCTCCTGTCATAATGACTCATTCTCTTGAATTCTGCCCCACAGTTATTCCAATCCATCCTCCATGTCTCTGTCTCAGGTTCTGTTAACAAGGCCCATCACTTGTCTCCAACCCTTCCGCGCTCCACTTGACAATGTTTACACCTGTGAGCACTAGGTTTCAACCACTCTCTGAACCTCTCCATAAAATGGGAGAGAATTGTGATCCTCCCTAAATCTCTCTCCCCAGAAAGAGTTAAGCATACATTAGTGAGCTTTTACCATGTAAACTGGAGTCCCGGTGTGGCTCTGTGGGCTAATGCGTCAGACTGCAAGGTCAGTGGTTCAAGCTCACCAGCTGCTCCTTGGAATCCCTATACAGGGTCGCTATGGGTCGGAATCAACTCGATGACATGTAACAACAACAAACTAGTTTTGTGGGTTAGGCTGCTGCTACCCAAATGATCAGTGGTTCAAACTCAACAGCTTCTCCGTGGGAAAAAGATGAGACTGTCTGCTCCTGTAAAGATTTACAGTTTCAGAAACTCAATGGCACTGGGTATACCATGTGAGCAAGGACCATGGTGGTATAGTTTTTAAGCACTCAGCTGCTAGCCAAAAGGTTGGTAGTTTGAACCCACCAATCCTCGCAAGAAGAAAAGACTTGGTGATCTTCTCCCTTAAAGACTATAACTTAGGAAACTCTATGAGGTAGTTCTACTTCTCTGTACTATTGGGTTGCTATGAGTGAGAATCAACTCAAAGGCACACAACAACAATCAAGTAAATAGCCCCTCCAAACCAAACCTATTGCTGTTGAACCAAAGAAAGGAAATCGGTTAAGAGGCTAGAACAGTGTTCCAGATGGGATAGCGGGGACTAACCTAACCTTTAGTGGGAAAGAAGCAAACAAAAGCACAAATTTGAGAAACATTTCCAATGTAGCAACAGCAGAACATAGGAGCTTTTTGAAGGCTGGGACCTAAGACAGAGGAAGATACCAAAATTTATCTTATTCATTCAAGAAATTTTATTGCACATCTGACGCTAAGTTTCTCTTACTGCTCAAGACATAGAAGATACACCAGGGTCAAAATAGAGTTCTTGCCTTCATAGGGCTTCCATTTTTATGGGGCAGGCAGATAATAAATCATTAACTATCTAGTATGTCAGATAGTGATAAGTGCTAAGTCACATAGTGATAGAGTGGTAGGTGAAGGAGAGATTACCATTTTGTATAGGGAAGGTGAAGGAAATGTTCTCTCATATAGGACTATTTGACAGCAATGTAAAGAAAGTGGTGACTCCAAAGTTTGTAACAACTGAATAGCTGCAGGTGGCATTAACAGGAAAAAGATGTGGACTAGTTGATAGCAAAAGAGCAGTGATGTCAGCTCTGTATATACCAAATCTGAGCTATTTGAGAGATATCCAAGACATCCAATCTGATGGAAAGGCCATCAGATTGAAAGAAGTCTTGTTGTTAGATGCCTTCAAGTCAGTTCTGACTCTTAACAACAGGAGACTAACACACTGCCCAGTCCTGAGCCAGCCTCACAATCGTTGCTGTGTTTGAGCCCATTGTTGCAGCCACTGTGTCAGTCCATCCCATTGAGGAGCTTCCTTTTCTTTTCTGACCCCCTATTTACCAAGCCTGCTGTCCTGCTCCAGGAACCGATCGTTCCTGATAACGGGTCCAAAGTATGTGAATTTAAGATGCATTTCCTGGCATGTGCTACTTCCTTAAATAAAATATTAATTAGATAATGTCCACTGCCATTGAGTAGATTCTGACTCATAGCAACACTATAAGACAGAGTAGAACTGCCCTGCAGGGTGCTGAGATTATAAATATTTATGGAAGCAGACAGACTGCCTTATATTTCTCCTGAGCAGCAGCTGGTGAGTTCAAACCCTCTACCTCTCATTTGCAGTTAACAGCTCAATCCTTAACTCACTGCTCCACCAGGATTCCTTATGGACTAATTTAGACTGCTTACGGAATTCTAGAGCAGACAGCCTTATCTTTCTGCACTTTGCTTACGCCCATTATATCACATTTGACATGGGCTCAAGCAAAGTGCAGAAAGATGACACTACTTCTCCCATAAAGAACCACAGTTTTGGGTACAATATATATCATCGTTATGAGTCAGAATCAACTCAGTGGCAGGGGGTTTGGGTATAGGGTTTAAGAAAAATGCATTCTGGGAAACACACTGCTTAAGATCAGAGAGACACTGACCGGGTACTGAGAGAGGATGGAACAACAGAGGCTTGCCTGAATTACTAAGTATGACCCAGGAAAGTGTTAAGACCAGGAGGTAAAACTGTGCCCACAGAGCTAAGGAGTGAAAGTCCGTAAGGAGCCCTCAGAGCTCAGAGTTTCTCATATTCCAAATCTGGTTGACTTTACTTATAAGCTGTGCTGTGTGATGGGGCTGAAGCAAGTTGTGCAAGGTGAATTCAGGAGCTGGTTAAAGATGAACTAGCCTTCTTCAGTAGATCCAGCCAAAATAGTGTTGGGAACCCCACCCCCACCCCCCAAGAGGGAGGTAATGAGGTAGGGTTTGACACAGGACTACCGTTTCTTCCCCCAGCAAGATGGATTGGTAAAGTGGCAGCATCAGTGGGCTCAAGCGTGG